ATCACATGCTATGGTAAAAAGTGTTCTGAGGTCAAAACATAGTGTTGTGCACGTAACATGCAAAAAATAAGTCTCTTAATTATCTGCCCTGTAATTATAATTTGTGTGAAAAGGAATAAAAGTTGTTGGTATTTTACTGCCTCTAGTGTTAATTTCAGCTGGAAATCACAGTGAGTTGTACTGTACGTAAAGGTATGTTTTTGGAGTTTTGAAAAATGCAGGCAGAGGCACATTTTTCCAATGAGCCCATGATGAGAAATACTGTCATCGTCACAACACATGAATATAAAGGTGCATATAAAGGTGCACAAGGTGGAAACGAGGCAGTAGGAAGCTTTGAAGGTACAGTGCTGGCCTCTAAAACCTGGATTAGCACATCTGTGCTGTCAAATGCATCTACAAAAGTTCTGTGGGAGGGTAAAAATGGTTAATGACAAGTGAGTATAAAAATGTCACATGGATACCTTTAACTGAAGTGAACTGGACTACCATCACTGTGTAGTAGTTTGCAGGAAAAAAGGATGTGGGCTGTGCTATGGCGGCCCACTTGACAGAAACCATAACACTAATTATTTGTTATTGCTGGAGAAACTCCAAACTCCTGGTAGTGCAAGCGACAAGTACCCCATAGCCTGGCTCCCCTCGTGTTTCTATTGGCAAACAAGAAAGACGCAAAACAAGGTAGCAAAAAACTGTGGTTCCATGAAGAATCTTTATCAGCAGATATACATTTTTGCAGACTTGTGGGTAGGAGTAACATGGGAATGACCTGTTCTTACTCATCGGTTATGTTCCATTCACAAGTTATTTCTTTGAACGACAGATACAGACTCAGTATTACTGAAGCTAAGCGACCACAACAGAATCAGGCATTTTCAAAGGTCTTCAGAGTGTTTCGGTGGACAGTGATATAACAACACACTGTATGTCTTTAGGAACAACCTTGAAACATGAGATATGAACTTTAAGCTTTGTGCTCAGCATATAAACAAATATAGATGGCTGTGAGATGCTATCCTTTGTCTCTAAAGGTCACGTATGTCCTTGATGAAGTAGGCCTCCACCTGGAGGTCATGGAATCAGCACTGGAGCAAACGAATGGTCAGCACTACTGAAGGACAGCATACAGCCTTACTGATGGGAAACACTTGCCACTTTTAGTGTCTTTAAGAATTAGGTTCTTTTAATTTAATGTGCGAAGTGGAGTGGAAATTCCATCAAATGGAATCGCAATCGTAAAATATCAACTTATGGTTCAACCAGTGTTGTGAGTTTGAGGTGAAAAATGTCATATAAGCGAGGTGTTTGGAAATGTGTTGCAGTTCTGTTTGATGCTGTAGAGGCATTATCCTTCAGAATACTGGCAATGACAGAACAAATGATAGCTTATTTTAAATATTTGTTTAAATAAATATATAAATAAGAATATTGCATAGTGGTGCTTATCTGGATAAAGATGCATTTGTGTTTTATGGTCTTATTTTTGATCATGGGGTTGAACTGAATTATAATATTCTGCATGCAGCAAATGTATGAGCACTTTTAGACCATTTAGCTCTTTTTTCCCCACTGTTGCTCTTGCACTCCTAACACAGTAGGGAGAAGGACTTTTCATGTCTTGATAGCCTGGTTGTGCTCATTAAGAATGTGCCCTGATGAATTGTATTGTTTTTGACCAGAGAGCTCTTTGTTTTGATTTTGTTTATGTTGTATTATGACCTCTCTGTGGCACATCCTTGTTAATATTTGCTAATGAGATAATTGTTAAGGGCTCTGTCTCTGCTGCATTTCTTCTCTCAGATGCAACTCAATTAAATATGTATATAGTCCACTAAACTAACCAAAACCAAAGCAGTTATCAAAAATATTGAAGCTACAAAATACAAAAAAATTACTAAATAGCTATTTAGCTATTGGCCTGCACGGCCTTGGTGATGTCAGTTGAAAAGATGTTTTGGTTTCTTTTCAGGTGCAGCAAGTGAGCTCAAGGCAGCTCACTTGCTTATTATATTCTAATAAAAGACTAAAATGTTTGCACTAAAATGTTGTGTAGAACAAGAGCAGAAACTTGTATTGTTAAGAATGTCCAAAGTGTCAATATTTTAAAGCGTGATAAATACAAAAATATATCTAGAACATCATTATAGACTTTCTCACTTCTATCTTATTCTTAACATTAACGCAACATTATTCTGTAACATTTTCTCTTGACATTAGAAGTTTATTGTGATTGCAAAGATAGGAAAAAAAAAACTAATATGAGTCAGGACATTAAGAGCTAATTAGCCTTCCCTCATTCCCTCAAAAAAAGCAAGAGCTTACAAACAACATTACATACATACTACACTGAAATAATGGTAACCTATAAATTATGTGGATGAATTGGTTTTATTCATGTCAGAAATATTACTTGACATCACTGAGCGCACCTAAATAAATGAATTATACCAACAAAACTCATTTCATGCATTAAATCAGGTGGAAATAGCTCTTTAAGATAACAAGTTACCACGTTTTACAGTGTACATGTTCTCCTTAGAAATGTTATTATTTCACTAAAATGCATTACCATTTAAATATCTGCATGTAAATGTATCAACTGATTTGAAATAAAAGCAGCATTTGTTAGAAATAAATATAAAACGTCTATCCAGACGTGGAGGGAATTGTGTGTGAGAGTGAGAGAAGGGCAGCTGAAATCACAGAGGACGGTGGGACAGTGGCTGAGAGCCAGATGTTGTCACAGACAGCTGCTTCCTAATGCAGGGATGGAGAATGTGATGACACATACAAAAGACAGTAGCGCTCGTTCAGTTTCCCCATCTCCCCATCATCCAACATCATCGCTGTGCAAGAATAGGAGACCTCACTTGTCCTACAAGGCTATGGATATGATATAATAACGCAGAGGATGCAGATACACAAACCTGTGCCACTTACACACACACAAGAATATATCTCACCAGAACTAAGAGAAATGCAATCTACCGCACTATTTTTATGCACACACACAACATCCAAGCACTCAGCAGTGAATATCAGTGTATAATGAGAAACAAAACCAACATGAACAATAACAGCAATAACAAGTGTAACATATATGTGACCCTGGACCACAAAACCAGTCACAAGGGTCCATTTTTCGAAATTGAGATTTATACATCATATGAAAGCTGGATAAATAAGCTTTCCATTGATGTATGGTTTGTTAGGATATTTGGCCGAGATACAACTATTTGAAAATCTGGAATCTGAGGGTGCAAAAAAAAATCAAAATATTGAGAAAATCACCTTTAAAGTTGTCCAAATTGGCTATTTCTACAAATATACCCCAGCGACTTAAGACTGGTTTTGTGCTCCAGGGTCACATATGTGCATCTCTGCCAGTTAAAATTGCTGTTACTATTTTTAACAATCCCATGGCAAATAAATGTCTAGTTAAATGAAAAAGTGGAAGATATGATACGATTCTAGAGAAGGCATATTCTTTGCGATATTTAAAAACATGCAAACATTTTGCAGTTATGTGTTCGCAACACCAACACACTCTATAGGGTAAATACACACAGGCTGCTTTCTTACACAATCATGTGTGAAATGCGTTCTAACAATTAAAGCGCAAAAGCTGTGAATGTTTGTTTGCAGGCTTCAAATAATTCCCTTGTGGCACGAAGCGTACTTACCCATTTCGCTAATTGCAAACCATGCACAGTATAATGATAAACTACATTTGGAAAATCTCTCCATTATGTTACATTAGTTCCACAGTTTAAGGCAGCATCTGAGGAAAGCAGTTATGGAAACAGGACTTGAAGGCTAAATTTTGCTGGTGTGTGTGATTATGTGATGCGTTTTCAGTTTGTGCTGGTGTCCTGGAGTGAGAAAAACAGCTATTACATCACATAATTAAAGGAAGCCCTGGGCTATGCAATGGGAATCCCTGAGGTGCACTTGACATCATTTGATTGTATTGATTGAGACTGGAATAGGAGCCCATCAGACAGGCCTCACCCCAGAGAGCAACAGCCTTTGATACTAATCTGCTGATGTTTTTTTGGGGGATATTTCCTCTCGCAGAGAAATTTCCTCTTTCATTGTTGACCATAATAAGACTGAAGCGAACATGTTCGCTCCTATTAAAACTACAACTCTATTAAGAAAGCGCCTGTGACTCAGTTCTGGGAGGTGATGCTGAGCTTGGATGGCCTTCCTCAAAGCATTCATTAAATGGTTACTAATAGCAACATGCAAGAGAACATCTGTGCAGTGAAAGCCTACACTAAATCATGTCTAACTTTTTCTATGATGCCTAAAATATTAATCACAGCAAATGCCACAATAGTACATTGCAAAACTGAAATACAGTTGCCTAATACACACTCTGTATCCTACTTGTCAGTATTCTCTGCACTGAAAGACAAAAAAAAAATGGTAACCTAAAATGTTAACATATGTATTATATGGTTTTATTCAAGTCAAAAATATGAATTAAAATGACTGATACATTAGGTTAATCAGACAGAAATAGCCTTTTCAAGGTAACAATTGCAGGTTACCAATGTTTACAATGTGTGACTTTTAGTGTAACCTGAATACTAGAATATAATAGAATAGAATAGAATAGAATAGAATAGAATGTATCACCTTAGGAAAGAACGGAACAAAATATGTCATTGCAATACTTCACAGCCAAGATTGTCCTCCTCATGAAACATTCAGAAACAATATGAAACAAGATAATATGCAACAACAAGAGAAGATGCAATATGCAGCAGCATATTGTACAGGGGTTTTGCATCACAACCTGTACGCAACTTTTGCATGTGTGATTGGGGCTCAAAAAGTTCTGTGTTTGGAAAAGTAGCGTTCCCTACTTTTAAGTTAAGGTAAGATAGCATCTTTCATTCAACATCCAAGCTTTAGATGAAATGTTACTGCAACACTAAAACAACCGAAAACGGGAAAAGGCGCCCTGTAAATGTGTTTTAAAAGGCTCTTACCGAATCTTAACACATGTGGCATCCCGTGAGAATATCCCATACACAGTAAGAGCAGCAACAGCCCAAGCCATCTCTGATGAGTTACCAGATAGCACATCTTCATGATGCCTGCGATACACTGCATGTCATTCCCCTGGATGGATCGTAAGATTCCCACTTATTTCTGCTTTGGAGGTGTTTTTTTGTCAGCGATGTGATCACGGCATGGTCACTGAGACAGAAGAGGACACTCCATATCAGCGATGCTCCGCATGTCCGTCTCACTGCGCAAAGGAGCAACCTTCCAACCGGGCGTCCATGTTAGAGATGGGAAATCCAGGAGAAATCCATGTACGGGTGGCCTGAAAGAGCGGAGCAATACGAGAATGAGTGATGAGAGCTAGTGTAGCGGATAACTTGACGTGCAGAAGGCAGGAGCGGCAGCGATGAGTGCAGGCTGCTCATGTAATGCTGTCTACTGCACTGCTGCACTCACACTGACGTCGCGCCGAGAGCAACGCGAGCGCAACACTGACCACTCACAACATCCATTTCCTACTCTAACATGCTTCACATCTCAAAGCGAATGCTGTGCATGGATGTAACATCTCTGTTCATGGATAACATATTCACATGATGCTACAGGCGCAGCCGTTCGTCCGTGAGCTCTCTGCTGTGCCCGCAGCCTACTGTCTCATGTATT